CCTGTTCATAAAAGGTAGCCATTTAAGTGATGCAGAGAGGTGATTAAAAGTGGAGATTCAACTATAATAATGAAGGCCCACTACCCCATCAATCAACCAATGTCCCAGAAAGTGCAACACTACAACAAGGGAAAAAAGCCTTATTCAATCAAATGCTCATTTACACATCATGAAAAACTCAAGAAGATGCAAAACATTCAAAAAAATTGTAACACGATAACAAGCAATACAATAAAAATTATTTCAGCCAAAATGTGTTATTTCTCACTGAATGGACAAAGGCAGCAGAGCCAAGATAACAGGCCACAGAGCTTCAAGCAGAGACAACACCTTCTTCATCCCACACCTCTTATGGTTTTGCCAATCAATGCATAAAGTGCAAACTAACCAGTAGGCTGCACAGGATTCCTTAAAACAGAGAATTCACCTTGTCATACAAATCTTTCTTCTTTTTCTTGTCGTTTTCTTCACTGCTACTCTCTCCACCAGCTGGTCTGGCTTCTGCATCTTTGTTTTCTGGGGGCCGATCATCCACCAGGTAGTTGTCCAATGTGACAGAGAAGGCAATGGCTGCCAGGATGCACACCACTGGTGTCAAAGTTAACATGAGGCGAACCATCACACCAGCAAAGTACACAGCTGTTGTAGCATACAGGCAAACTGTCATGGAAAAAAAAAAAGTATTCCTGAGCTGTGCCAAACACTTAACAAACCCAGAAGTAAAACAATACTATTGTTAAGGCTACATTCATACTTGGTGCTCCAACATTAGTGCCAGGGCACTGGCACAAAATGGTGTTGTGTTCAGACACTGGGTCCCGAATATAGCAGTGCCCGTTTCAGTACCTGAGTACAAGGTGAAGACCTTACACCTGGGCGCGGGCACGGTGCCTGAATTCTGGTGTGGTTACTTGAAAAAAAAAGGGGCATTCACATAAGTGCCCACCAAGAATGGTACTTGGGCACCGTGCTCAAGCACCAAGTGTGAACGCAGCCTTAGTTAGTAAAACTGCTTTTTTTGGTAAAAAAACAAAATTGATCAGGATTGATCTATCCTTAAAAGGTTTGACTAATAAATCAATTAGGGTAAAATTTTTTACTCACCAAAAACTCTTTCATCATTAATATTCTTGATCACAAACCAGAGACCAGCAGGAAAAGTACAGATTAAGACATGAAGATCAAAGAAGAAAGAAACCCATGTGGTTGGCTGATGCTCAGAAACAGAGGCAATGATTGGAATATGAATCTTGGCGTACCTGGTTGAGGTTGAGAGAAAAATTTAAAATTCGATATTTTTAACATCAATAGAAACATGCACTTGAGTATGTTTTGCAGGAATTTATTCATACCCTATGAGAAGACTGAAATTTCTCCTGAAAATGTTTATATATTTTTTATTTTCTGTCTATATAGTAGAACAAAGGCAAAGAAAGAAATTCAGTGGCCTTTTGGCATTTTTTAACTTGTCAAGTCCAGCAGAGGAGAGTTTCACACTACTTGTATACGATTTGTGTATGCAGGTCCAGTTACTGGTGATATACAGTGGAATCCTGATTTCTCGAACCTCCAAGGGAAACACAAATTGGTTTGAGAAATCGGGAGTTCGAGAAATTGGGGGTGAAATTACAAGTGAAGCAAATCCAAGGGAAACAAGGTTTGGTTCGAGATATCGGGAGGTTTGGGAAACTGAGGGTTCGAGAAATCGGGATTCCACTGTACCATCACCTGTGAGATCTCTCACTACTGTCTGTTTAACCTACAAGGAGACCCTCGCATTTGGGTTTTGCCTTATGGCATGGCCACCTATAAATTTTGAAACCCCTAAGAGCAACAAGCATTTAATTTCTCCTTACAATATCACTCCCAATTGAAACATTAAGGTCAGGAGAATAAAGAAAACGATCACCAACTACAAAAACTCTTGATTGATAAGCAAAGTCTCCTTGTCAGCATTTTAGGAAACATATAGAGAACAGTGTGGAGAATATGCATACTGATGTTAGAGTGCAAAGTGTTGAACCACCAGCAGCCGCTTCTGAAAAATCTGTTTTAAACTCCTCTATGTGAATATTTTAAGCAAAAGTGAAGGTGAAAAAAATTAATTGCAACTAGATTAAGCTGCGGGATTTCTTATATAATGAAAGAAAGTATTTTTTTTTTTTGCAGCATTTCATTTTACTTAACTTTTTCCGATCAAGATAACTTTTTTCTGAGGATCAAAGACCATGTAGAAAATCTGCAAAAATTAAAACCCACAAAATTTTCAAGCTACACAGTAGACTCTCAGTTTGACTTACCCAGTGTCATACAGAGAGTAAAACCGTCCCCTCCAGGGGGCAACATAACCTGGAAGAAAGAAGAGGTCAACAAGTTGATTTCGATGCAAATATGGGTGATCCTCAGGCAATTACAGAAAACCCTCAGTTTAAAAATTCAAACATTATCAATTGCTGTTTCAAGTGATTCATCAAGAATCCTCATCCGTATCTTACAGTAAACAGAAAACTGTTGCCAGTAGCCTACATACCAGCATAAGTGAGAAAAATGACAGCAATGAACACCAAGCCTGCTACAGCCGCCACAGCAAACACAAAGATGTTCTTAAAATCAGTCCACGATACTTTGCTTCTAATATACACTAAAAATGCATAGGCTTGGAGCAGTGCAAATGTACCTGGGACAAAGAACAGAAAGCATTATTCAAATGAAAAGGAGGCAAATAATATTCTTAACAAATCAATGACATTGTATACCACACAACAAAAAGTGTTTTTTGGTATTCCTAAAAATCTCTTTTCCACCGAGATAGTGAAAAACAGTGAATAAATGTTGTTGACTTCCTCCTGTGATATAAACTACAACTA